GCTTGGGGCTCTTGAGCTTGGAGAAACGAGTGACAAGGGGTGACAAGATCGAGGTTTACAAGATTATGCATGGGATACAGCAGGTCGAGAAAGAAGTACTTTTTGTCCCTTTCTCAACATACAAGAACTCGTGGGCACTCCATGAAATTGCCGAGCACTCGGGTTAGAACGGATAAAAGGAAGTCCTTCTTCACCCAAAGAATGATTAACACATGGAATTCACTGCCGCAGGAGGTGGTGGCAACTACAAGGGCAGATGGATTCAAGAGGGCCAAATAAGTCTTACCAGCAAATTTTTATTACTCCCTTCCTTTATGGAGCTCAGGTGGTTCTCCGAATTTGGTGTAGTGGTTAAGAGCGGCAGACTCTAATCTGGAGAACCGGGTTTGATTCCCCACTCCTCCATATGCAGCTGCTGGTGTGGCCTTAGGTCAGTCACAAGCTCTTTCAGAGCTGTTCTCTCAAGAGCAGTTTCTTTCCCATATTTTCCTTATAAGAAGAGAAGAGAGAAGAGATTGGATTTATACCCCGCCCTTCACTCAGTCTCAGAGCGGCTCACAATCTCCTTTCCCTTCCCCTCCCCACAACAGACACCCTGTGAGGTAGGTGGGGCTGAGAGAGCTCTTTTGAGGACTGCTCTTGAGATAATGACTCTGAAAGAACTTGTGACTGACCCAGGGCCACACCAGCAGCTGCATGTGGAGGCGTGGGGAATCAAACCCAGTCCTCCCAGATTAAAGTCTGCACTCCCAACCACTATGCCAAACTGGCTCTTAACAGCCCTGTGAGGTCGGCAAGGCTAAAAGAGAGTGACTGGCCCCAGAGTGCTACGGTACCTTTGATCCTTCCGGTGACGTAGAGGAAGCCATCTTTGTCCAGCTTCCCGAGGTCTCCGGAATGCAGCCAGCCGTCCCCGTCGATGGCTTCCCTGGTTTTCTCCTCCATGTTCAAGTACCCCATGAAGACCGTCCGCCCCCAAAAGCAGATCTCCCCGTTGCCGTCAGCGTCCTCGTTCACCAACTTCACTTTGCAGCCAGGGACTGCTTTGCCGCAACTGGGGGGGAAAGTTTGAAAAGTTAATCTGGTGCAAAAAACCCATAGCCAGGGGTCAAAGGCCAGTAGGGAATCCCTGCAAAGATTTGTGTCTCCCCCCCCCAAAAAAATTAGACACAATAATGTCCGTCTTGACCGAAAGGAACCCACATGACAGATACAAGCAGAACTGGACGGCCGTTATCTCGTCCCTGAGAACTCTGGGAATTTGGGTTCCCGATCTCCAGCTAGGACTTCGTAAGGAAAAACAACCAGGATAAGATAACAAAATCTTGTTAGGAAAAATACATATCTTCTTTAATCATCCAGTGAACGACAAATCATTAAAGTTGTTTCCTTTGAAGTAAATTGGTCTCGAGGTTCTTCTGATGGTACAGCGCTCAATAGACCGTTTCACTCAAGATTTCATCAGAGGAGACCTTACACCTTCCGTATTTTTTCTGCAACTTTCCCCCTGCTCCCTCTTCCTTTCTAATTGACATCATTTTGTTGTGTAAGTTAGAAAGGAAGAGGGAGCAGAAAACGGCTGCAGGAAAAATACGAAAGGTGTAAGGCAGGGATGTCAAACATTGTGGCCCAGGGGCCGGATGAGGTCCCCGGAGGGCTTCTATCAGGCCCACAGAGGAACTGGCTGTCTTCTGCTGCTTCTTCCAGTTCTGCAACTGTTGCGTCATCGTAGGTTTGCAGCTTACAGATACACACCTGAACAGAAACTCAAGATTGCAACAGCACAGATATTTTGATGCAATAATTCAGAGCAAGAGGTTAGCAGACATTGTTAAGTAAACAAAATATTGCAAGAATGCTAATGTTTTAAGCATGTTTTTATTTTAAGTTTTTTTTAAAAAAAAACCTTTGCGTTTGTGTCCTTTATAAAGTTTGTATCTCTGCTACCTGACATTACACCAGTCTGGTGTAGTGGTTAAGTGCGCAGACTCTAATCTGGGAGAACTGGGTTTGATTCCCACTCCTCCACTTGCACCTGGCTGGATGACCTTGGGCAAGTCATAGTCCTGATAAGAGCTGTCCTTGAAAAAGAGCAGCTTCTGTCAGAGCTCTCTCAGCCCCACCTGCCTCACAGGGTGTCTGTTGTGGGGAGGGGAAGGGAAAGGAGTTTGTAAGCCGCTCTGAGACCCCTTTGGGTAGTGAAGGGCAGGGTATAAATCCAATCTCTTCTCTTCTCTCTCTCTCCTTTTATGACACACAACAAGGTCTCGTTTATGTCAGATCCGGCCCTCATAACAAATGAGTTCGACACCCCTGGTGTAAGGTCTCATCTGGTGAAACGGTCTATTGAGCACTGTACCATCAGAAAAACCTGAGACCAATTTACTTCAAAGGAAACACCTTTAACGATTTGTCACTCGCTGGGTGATTAAGGAAGATACATATTTTTCCTAACGAGATTTCGTTATCTTATCACGGTGGTTCTTCCTTACTAAGTTCAGCCTGTCCGGTGATCTCTCGTCCTTGACTAATCTCTAGCTGGGGGCTGGAGACCTCCCGCTTTTACAACTGAGTCCCCCCACTTGGGTTTGCATCCCGCGAGGCTACGGAGAGCTCTGCAGCTTACCTGTGACGCCGGTAAACGTTCGGCCCGGACATGCAGTGTGGGCCGGTGGTCTCGCTCATCCCGTAGGCTTCGTACAAGGGGATGTTCAAGCCCAGGAAGAAGCGCATCACTTCTGAGGGGAGGGGAGCCGCCCCGGAGAAATGCTTCTGGCACTGAGAGAATCCCAAGGCGTGGCGGATCTTGGCCAGGACCAAATGGTCTGCTAATCTCATTCGGAAGGGCTTTAAGTCACTTTTTTTTAAAAGACAAAACACCAAAGGGAAGGGGAGGGTGCAAAAAGGAATTCAGAAGCAACATTGATGGTTTATCAGAGATACAGAAAAGCTGATAGATGAGAAATACAGAAAGGCTGCGTCAGTGCTTAGTTGTCGTGGCCCTTCCTTACACGCCCCGGGAAATGCCGATTGCCACTTTGGGGTCAGGAAGCCATTTTCCTCCAGGCCCGTTTGGCCGGGGATCCTGGATGGGTTTTTGCCATCTTCTGGGTGTGGAACAGGGGTCACTGGGGGTGTGTGGGCGGGGGAGGTATTTGTGGATTTCATGCATTGCGCAGGGGGTTGGACTAGATGACCCCGGAGGTCCCTTCCAACTCTGTGATTCTCTGATTCTGTCCTATATTGGCCAATCAAATCTCAGCTTTTGATGGAACTCTCTAGTCCTCATTGTTCCAAAGATACGCTTTCCATGACTCGTACTGGCTTGAGAAGGTCTCTGTCTAGGCTCAGCGCCTTCTGTAAGGAGGAGCACCTACAAATTAATTACTCTAAGACCAAGGTGATGGTCTTCGGGAAGCGGCAGCGCATTTTTGGCTGGACAATGGATGGGTTTTCGATAGACCAAAGGCGAACCTTTAAATACCTGGGTATTACCCTCTGTGACGCACTTTCCTGCAAGGCACATACAGACATTATAAAATCAACAGCACTTCGGGTTATGGGGGCAATCCTTAAATTTTACCATTCTAAAGGGGGATAATCAGATAGAACCAGCCCTAAAGCTTTTCCGGAGTTAGTTAATCGCCCAACTTTTATCCGGTGTTGAGCTTTGGGGATGGAGCGATTCCCTGATCTCAAATCTGGAGAGAATTCAACATCTTTTTCTAAAAAGGCCTAGTGAGATCTCAACAGGCAGCATGCCCCCATTTTGCTCAGGCAAATAACGCAGGAGTCCCCAACGTGGGGCCCGGGGGCACCACCGTGCCTGCCAGTACCTTTCCTGGTGCCCACCAAGTGTTTTTAGAAAGTGGGTGGGGCTTCTAATTGCCCACTGGAGAACTGATTGGCCGTACAGATTAAAATGACATTTCAGCAACAGCTGCCACCACGATGTTGGTTTTATTCGCTCTCTGACTTCTCTTTCCAGGGGTATTTATAAAATCCAGGGGTCATTTCCTGCAGGAGCGCACAGGAGCGGAGCTCCGGCAGTAAAGAGCCCAGGGGGCAGGCACATGCGACAAGCCCCGCCCCCTGCTCCCAGCAGCCCTCGGTCAGAGCAAGAAGCAACCAGGTATGTTGCAGAGCCCCCCCCCCAGTCCAAAACAGTCCAGTGGCACCTTTAAGAGCAAGTTTTATTCAGGTACGAGCTCTCCCTCCTCTGCAAGGACAGATCTGCATGTCCCCCCCCCCCCAGTAGCTAGCAATCCAAAACAGTCCAGTGGAGCCTGAGGGGTGGGTGTTGCCTTCTGACACACTTCCAGTGATGAACGGGGGTGTGGCATATACAAATAAGTTATGCTAATGAGCTCCGGCACCTCTTTTTCTACAAAATGACCCCTGCTAAAATCTATTCCTCTTTTCCCCTGTGCTTGGGCTTCCCCTAAGTGTGTGGTTCACTCTGCCCTCCCCCACGGACGTTTTGTGGTTGCACCCACCAGCCCGTGTCCGAATTCCAGAGGCGCCCACAAGTTCAGAAATGTAGGGGATCCCTGAAATAGAGCCTCAGCCCTTTGGGATCCCTGACCTTGTTTGGGGGACGATGACCCCAAGAGCATGAATCATTTTCCGCATGTACCTATTTGAGCTGCTCAGGTTTCTTTCCAAGCTGACCGACATGGCCCAGGAGAGCATTTTCTTCTTCAGGAACCCCGACTGTAAAGAGACTTCTTTGATCTTCTCCATGATCTTCTCCCACACCCGGGGGACTCCCATGAGAGACGTGGGCAGTGCCTCTTTCAGGATGTTGACCAGGCCTCCCTGCAAAGACCAAGAACAAGTCCCGAAAGGCAGACAACCCTCTGAATGCATGTGCAAAAGGGGTCTAGGGGTCTTAGCGGACCATACACCGAACATGAGCCAGCAGTGTGATGCAGTAGCTAAAAAGGCAAATGCGATTTTGGGGCTGTATCGACAGAAGTATAGCGTCCAGATCACGCGACGTGATGGCATCGCTTTATTCTGCTCTGATTAGACCTCGCCTAGAGTATTGAGCTCAGTTTGGGGCACCAGAGTTTAAGAAGGATCTAGACAAGCTGGGACATGTCTAGAGGACGGCAATGAAGATGGTGAGGGGTCTGGAGTCCTATGAGGAAAGGTTGAAGGAGCTGGGTCTGTTTAGCCTGGAGAGGAGATGATTGAGAGGGGCAGGGCTGTTTTTGGGCAGGAACGCACAGGAACGGAGTTCCGGCTGGCTCCCAAGTTGGCCACACCCAGCAGGAACTCATTAGCATAACAGGCCACACCCAACAGCAGGAACTCATTAGGATTGGCTACATTAGAGGTGTGTGGCCTAACATGCAAAGGAGTTCCTGCTCCAAAAAAAGGCCCTGGGTTTTGACAACAGACAAGGTAAACAGAATAAGAAGCAAAGGGTGGGTGTGGCTGGATGAGCACACTTCTGGTAACACGGGGGTGTGGCCTAATATGCCAATGAGCTGCGCTGTCATGGGTATGGCCTATTATGTTAATGAGTTCCTGCTGGGCTTTTTCTACAAAAAGAGCCCTGGCAGAGGGGATATGAGAACTGTCTTCAAGTACCTGAAGGACTGTCCTATAGAGGATGGGGCGGAGTTGTTTTCCGTTGCCCCAGAAGGCTGGACCAGAACCAACGGGCTGAAATTGAATCAAAGGAGTTTTGGGCTGAACATGAGGAAGGACTTCCTGACAGTGAGAGCGGCTCCTCAGTGAGCGGTTCCTCAGTGGAGCAGGCTTCCTCGGGAGGTGGTGGGCTCTCCTTCTCAGGAGGTCAGGTGGCCATCGGACAGCAGTGCTGATGGTGTGAACTTGGGCAGATCGTAAGAGGGGAGGGCGGGGAGGGTTGCCTCGGTGCTTAGTTCTCGTGGCCCTTTCTCACACGCCCAGGGAAATGCCGATCGCCGCTTTGGGGTCAGGAAGCCATTTTCCCCCAGGCCTATTTGGAAGGGGTTCTGCAGAGGCCATCTAGTCCAACCCCCTGCTCAATGCAGGATCGGCCTAGTGCATCCCTGACGAGGGTTTGTCCAACTGCTGCTTGAAGACTGCCAGGGAGGGGGAGCTCGCCACCTCCCCAGGCGGCTGATTCCACGGCTGCACAACTCTGACTGTCAAAAAGGTTTTTCCTAATATCCAGCCGGTACCTCCCCGCCCTTAATTTAAACCCATCCTTGCGACTTCTGTCCTCTGCTGCCAACAGGGACAGCTTCCTGCCCTCCTCTACGTGACAGCCCTTCAACTACTTCAAGAGAAAAACCCTATCCCCCCTCAACCTCCTCTTCTCCGGACTGAATATCTCCAAGACCCTCAGCCTTTCCTCACAGGGCTTGGCCTCCACTGGCCCCTGATCATCTTCGTCGCTCTCCTCTGCACCCGCTCCGTTCTGCCGACATCCTTTCCAAGGTGAGGCCTCCAGAACTGCACGCAAGACTCCCGGTGCGGCCTGACCAATGGGCAATCAGAAGTCCTGCTGGGCAAAAGCCCCCTCTGCCCCCTCACGCTTCCTAAAACACTTGGCAGGCCCCAGGAAAAGGTGTCCGGGGCCGCCGTGATGGTGCTCACGGGCACCGTGTTGGGGAACCATGCTCGACAGCGCATCTCCCCCATCGCCTTCCTCAAAGGCTTTGGCGGGGAAAGCCCACTCGAGTACCACATCTGACAAAGACCTTCAAGGCGTCGGGCTCCGCGAAGTAGACTTGTTCTCCCCACTTGATCCCCGTCCAGAGGTCGTAGATCTGGGCCGCTATGTGGCTGAGCGGAAGGTAGCTGACGATCGTCTCCTGCTGGACTTCGGCGGGCTGCATGTCGCCTGCTCGGCTGGCGTGCGCGGAGGTCCACGTTATCTGAACGGGGGAACGCAGAGGAGTTAAAAAGAAGAAGAAGAAGAAGAGATTGGATTTCTACCCGCCCTGAGCCCGCAATGCGGGGAGGGCGGGGTATAAATAAAATTAAATAAATAAATAAATAAATACCCCGCCCTTCACTCGGAGTCTCAGAGCGGCTTACAGACTCCTTCCCCTTCCCCTTCCCCTCCCCCTCCCCACAACAGACACCCGGTGAGGTAGGTGGGGCTGACAGAGCTCTTTTGAGGACTGCCCGTGAGAGATCAGCTCTCAAAGAACTATGGCTTGCCCATGGTCATCCAGCAACTGCAAGTGGAGGAAGAAGAAGAGATTGGATTTATACCCCGCCCTTCACTTGGAGTCTCAGAGCGGCTTACAAACTCCTTCCCCTCCCCACAACAGACACCCTGTGAGGTGGGTGGGGCTGAGAGAGCTGTGCCAGAGCTTGTGGCTGACCCAAGGTCACATCAGCAGGTGCAAGTGGAGGAGTGGGGAATCAAACCCGGCTCTCCCAGATTAGAGTCCGCGCACTTAAACCACGACACCAAACCGGCCCGCTCGCTTCAAAGAAGAAAGCGGGGGCCGTGAGCCACCCCTTGCTGGATCCCGAACCCTAACAGAGCAGGAATCCTTTCTGCTGCCTTCTGGATGGACGTGCTGTTAGTGCGCATGTGCGAATAACCAAGGGCGCTTCGGGCACATCTGTTCTGGAAGATGCAGTTCCGGGAATCACGTTTCACATTTTCAGTTAGCAGTTAAAAATGAATTGGTGGGAGATGGATGGTTTAGAAGATCGGGGGGGGGAGGTGCTACAAACCCGACCCCATAGTTAGAACGACAGACGTTGATTTGGGTCCCCATTGGGGGAGAAATGCTGGTGGGTGGTGGAAAGTGCTGTCCAGCAATGCTCCCTTTAATTTCCTCCCCCCTATGGAGTGGCGCAGGAGCTGTGATGGCTCAAGTGGTTAAAACGCTGAACTGCAGGCTGTGGAAGGTCAGTAGTTCAGCAGTTCGAGACCCGAGTGTGCCGCATGACGGAGTGAGCTCCCGTCTTTACTTCCAGCTCCTGCCAACCTAGCAGTTCGAAAGCGAGAAATTGCAAGTAGATATATAGGTACCACTTCGGTGGGAAGGGAACAGCGTTCCGTGCGCCTTGGTGTTTAGTCACACCGGCCACATGACCACGGAAACGTCTTCGGACAGCGCTGGCTCTTCGGCTTGAAAACGGAGATGAGCACCGCAACCCTAGAGTCGGACTCGACTGGCTTTCGAGCGAGGGAAAACCTTTACCTTTACTATGGAGTGGCGCAGTCCACAGCCTGAGCGGAATATAAACGCTGTCCTCTTCAAATGAACAACGGGCAGTGAAAGACCCTGCAGGGGTCCACATTGGTGCGGAGCGGGGATTCCTGTGTTCATGAGCGGCCGCTCATGCACACCGTTTAAAGGGGATACGGCCTACTTATGGCAACTCCATAGAGCTTTCAAGGCAAGACACAAACAGAGGTGCTTTGCCATCGCCTGCCTCTGCATAGCAACCCTGGGCTTCCTTGGTGGCCTCCCCTCCAATGACTGACCAGCGCTGACCCTGCTTAGCAGCCAGGATCTAACGAAATCGGGCTAGCCTGGGCCGTCCGGGTCAGAGCCGAGACTAACATAAGTGGTTTGCCATTGCCTTCATCTGTGGAGCGACCCTGGGCAACCTCCAAGGAATACCAGGGTCGTGACGCAGAGGCGGGCAATAGCAAACCGCCTCTGCAACGTCTCTTGCCTTAAGCCTAGCTCGCCACCTAGTGGTGCATGATGCTAAAAGAGGTAGAACGTCTGGCTGCCGGACTATCTCAGGGTCATGCCTGCCCTTGACTCAGCCCCAGATCCAGCTCCTGACAGCCTCAGAGGGGAGGATTCCGTGCCTTTAAGAGCTGAAGAAGCATCAGGATCTGCACCTACTGTAAGTACGGAGGAGGATACACAGCAATTTGAGCCAATTACGGGACGGTTTGCACCTGGGATTGATTGTAAGCAGCTCACCACCTGCATCTCCCTCACCTGTAAGCCGGCTTAGGGATCGGAGACGTCAGGATCTGGCTAGCCGATGTAAAGAAGCACGTTCAAGAGGGCGGAGATCCTTGAGCCCTGAGTTTGAACAGCAGCCAGGACCTCGCACAAAGGTGCTAATGGGTTAATGGGCCAGAGCACTATTTAGCAGGGCCTCTGGCCATGAGCAATTTGTGCTGGCAACCTCGTTCGTGGAACCAGAAGCTCTGCCCCTTGATTCCTGTTTGACTCTGTGGCTTTTTGGGCTCGGCTTGTGTTTGTGGAGTTCCGCTCTGGCTCCTGACTCCCAGCTTTGAATCTGACGGCGCTCTCGGCTTTGCTCTCTGGACTCTGACCTCTGGTAACGTTTGACTGCGGCTGTGTCTGGTGTTTTGGGACTTGTTTAACGCTCTGCTGACGGCTCTCCCGGCTGACCCTCGGGCTTGTCTTGTGACCCACCCCCCCAGCCTGACTCCCTGGCTCTACCGTGATACTCAGGGTCTCCTGGCTATACTACGCACACTGCCATGGGCCTCCTGGCTATACTACGCACACTGCCATACAATAATTATTAATTATTTCTCTCTCTCTCTCTCAGCCTACCCTAACCCACCTCGCAAGTTTGTTGTGAAACTTAAATGTCAGAGGGCCGAACCACACACGCCACTCAGAGTTCCTTAGTGGAAGAGTAGGATCTTTTATCAACGAGAATGATTTATAGGAGTCATTCGAGGTGCAAGAGGCCAATCGAAACCAGAGGTCAAGTGGGGACAGGAGACCGTGGAGAAGGGAACGGGGCGGAGTGGATTTGCTGCACCCTGATTCCTAAATGTGCCTTTCCACGTCATCCCCTGGATGCGTCAGAGGGCAGACAGACGGATAAGCGTTTGGCGCCAAGTCCGAACTCGGTCGCAGATGCCGAGGAACGTCTCTTAATAAGGCGGACCTCAGGACAGATACCGGGGATGGGATATTTTCCAGGGCGAGGGCCGCATTAAAAATAGCCTGCCCGAAAACGAACAGCTGGGGACAGCTTTGGCCAGGCAGAGTCCAAATTCTACCAGGCCTCTTTGAGAGGGAACGGGGCAGATCCGGACTTCCCATCCAGCATCCTGACTGCTGGGGAGAGTATCGGCCAGGGTTGCCACCTCCAGGCTGGGAAATTCCTGGAGATTTGGGCGGACGCTGTGGCGGGCATGGTTTGGAAAGGAGAGGGACCTCAGGGGGGTACAGTGGCCACAGAGTCCGCCCTCGGAAGCAGCCCATTTTCTCCGGCGGAGCTGATCTCCGCAGTGTGGAGAGCAGTTGTAATCAGTGTTCCCTCTAAGCTGAGTCAGTGTGAGCTAGGTCACAGTTTTTTAGCCTCCAGCTCACACATTTTCGTCTTAGCTCAGGAAGGAGGGCTCCAGAGCAAACTATTTTATGCAGCAGCCAAATCGCTCGCTCACAACTTTCATGCCAGGAGCTCACAAAGTAGAAGTTTTGCTCACAGGACTCCACAGCTTAGAGGGAGCATTGGTTGTAATCCCAGGACGTCTCCAGGCCCCACCCGGAGACTGGCAACCAGCGTTCCCTCTAAGCTGAGTCAGTGTGAGCCAGCTCACCGTTTTTTAGCCTCCGGCTCGCTCCGATTTTTGCCTTCACTCAGGAAGGACAGCTCCAGAGCAAACGAATTGATGCCGCAGCCAGAATCGCTCGCGCACAGCTTGAATGCCAGGAGCTCACAGAGTAGAATTTGGGCTCACAAGACTCCACGGCTTAGAGGGAGCATTGGTGGCGACCTTAAAGGTCAGGCTCAAAGTTGGTTAGGGTCCCATCCACCAAGAATATGTCCACAGCAGTTTCCCTCCCCTCAGAGAAACGAAGCTGCATAGGAGTGATTCCTTGAGGTGGGATTTATATTTTCACTAAGAGCCAGTGTGGTGTCGTGGTGAAGTGCGCAGACTCTAATCTGGGAGGACCGGGTTTGATTCCCCCATTCCTTCACTTGCACCTGCTGGATGACCTTGGGTAAGCCGTAGTTCTGATAAGAGCTGTCCTTGAAAAAAGAGCAGTTTCTGTCAGAGCTCTCTCAGCCCCACCTGCCTCCCAGGGTGTCTGCTGTGGGGAGGGGAAGGGAATGTGAGCTGCTCTGAGACTCCTTTGGGTAGTGAAGGGCCATGGGGTATAAATCCAATCTCCTCTTCTCCTTCTTCCCTACATAACTAGAATCCAATCTCTTCTTCTTCTTCCTCTCTCTAACTTTTAAATTTTGCTTTTCACTTTGGGTAAGTCATAAAGACAAATATTTAAAACCTGTAAAACATAACGTCTAGTTTGGCCTCTCATGCGGTGAGCCCAGGATCTGTAGGCCTAAATAATGTGAAGTACTCATGGAGGATAGGTCTATTGATAGGTCTATCAGTGGCTACTAGCCACTGTGACTAAAGGGAGCCTCCATGTTAAGAGGCAGTCAATCTCTGGATCCAGAGCCAAAAGTCAACATCAGGGGAAGTCCTCACCCCTTGTTGTTGGCCCTCCACTGGGTGAGACAGGATGCTGGACTAGATGGACCTTCACTGGTCTGACCCAGCAGGGCTCTCCTTATGTTCTTATGAAGGCCTCGGCCTCTATGCCCTGTTGTTGGCCCTCCAGAGGAACTGGTTGGCCACTGTGTGAGACAGGATGCTGGACTTGATGGACCACTAGTCTGATCCAGCATGGCTCTTCTGGTGTTTAGGTTTTTATGTTCTGTTCCATAATCAAGGTGACAGCACATGCCACTTTCTCAGGTGATATATGATATCCACTGGCCCAGAATGATAGTCTCACCGGACATCTATTCATTTCAGAAATATTTCTGTTTCTTACTGCATACCTATCTTTGAGCCGAAACATGTCCGGATCTCATCTGTTTATAAGCCAAGCATTAAATGCGCAATGGCATCATGTTCTGGTGTCTTGGAATACATACGTTATCATGACTCAGCATAGCTCCTTTGGGGTTCCCGGTCGTTCCAGACGTGTAGATCAGTACGCAGCACTGATTCGGCTTCTGGGAGCTGATAATAGCATCGAGATCTTCGTCCAGGACTTCGTTGCCCAGTGCCATGAATTCGTCCATCTTTCAGAAAGGAAACAGATGACATAAATAAGATCTGCATCTGAAAAAAAGATTCTAGCTACAGTTGCCAACCTCCAGGGGTCCAGCTGGAGGCCTCCTGGTATTACAATTGATCTTCAGACTACAGAGATCAGTTCCCCTGGAGAAAAATGGATGCTTTGGAGGGTGGATTCTATGGCATTAGACCCTGCTGAGGTCCCCCTACTCCCAAAACCCCGCCTTCCCCAAGCTCCACCCCCAAAATCTCCAAGTATTTCCCAACTAGGAGCTGGCAACTTTAGATCTCGCCCACAAGAGGTTCCCCGCCACCACCACCCCTCAGTTTAGAGAAAAACTCTACCAAGGAGGTGGGTAGGGGTCAGCTAGTGATTCCAGTCTTTCTTTATCTATGTGACTGAAGCCTTCGACCTTGAGTGTCTGGTGTACTTTTCTCCAGAGAATAATTGCCTGTTACTTTGGCGGGTTCCTACCAGGCCTCTGATTGGACCTGGACCATCGGGGACCCCCTTGAATAATGTATATCAGCCATCAGGGGACACCCCCCCCTTGAATAATATATATCAGCTTTGCTTCGCGCGCTTTAAGCCAGTTCTAACACAAAAGTGTTTAGATATCTGCATACTCAATGTCTCGATAAACTTCTTTGAATGAAAGCTGTTGGGAACTGATTGCTGCAGGAGTCTGACATAAGGGATGCCAGCCTCCAGGTGAGACCTGGGGAATCCCCCGGAATTACATCTCATCTCCAGACTATGCAGATTAGGGTTGCCAAATTGGCATGACTCACCGGCGGGGGAGCATTGCTTCCGTCCGGGAGCTGCCGAGGGAGATGCTTTGGAGGGTGGACTCTGTGACACTGTACCCCCACTGTACTCTCCAGGCTCCACCCCCGAATCTCCAGGGGTTTCCCAGCCTGGAGTTGGCAACCCTATGAGTCCATGCCACCAGTGGCGGGAGGGGGGGCTAGCAACCCTAAGGGTGTGGGACACAGGAGAGGGTTATAAAAACAGTGCGTGAGGTGCAGAAAGGGAACGTTTCAATACAAGAAGTCAGGCAAGGATCCGCATGTCATTTTTACGTGTTTACAGACCTTGCCTTTCTCGGGGGTGGGGGGAACTGATCATTTTTTTTTTATAAAGAGGATAATTGACATGGTGCTTTTGCTTGTGTTGCATGTGAAATGTTGATGTTACCCACCCTGAGCCCACGTGCAGGAAAGGCGGAATATAAGTACAATAAATCAATAAATGGTACCTACCGCATACAAATTGGGACGTTTGTCCACCACGGGATCTCTGTACATCACGACAGCTTTCAAGTGCGGCAGGCGATGCCAGATCTACGAAGCCAATCACAAATAACGTCTAATTTTGTTGCATTTTCAGATGTTTTTAATGGCTCAGCTAGATCGCAGTCCCGTAGTATCTTAGAGAACACACAGGAACGGAGTTCCGGCTGGCTCCCAAGTTGGCCACGCCCAGCAGGAACTCATTAGCATAATAGGCCACACCCAACAGCAGAAACTCATTAGGATTGGCTACATTAGGGGTGTGTGGCCTAACATGCAAAGGAGTTCCTGCTACAAAAAAAGGCCCTGGGTTTTGACAACAAACAAGGTAAACAGAATAACAAGCAAAAGGTGGGTGTGGCTGGATGACCACACTTCTGGTAACATGGGGGTGCGGCCTAATGTGCTAATGAGCTGTGCTGTCAGGGGTGTGGCCTATTATGCTAATGAGTTCCTGCTGGGCTTTTTCTACAAAAAGAGCCCTAGAGACCAAGAAGCTTTCCAGGTTATTCGTGTTGGTCGAAGGATCGTTTCAAAGGTGCTACGGGGCTTGAATCGAGTTGTTTGACTGAAGACCAAACACGGCTACCCTCTGAAGAAGTAAGCAGTGACTCCCAAAAGCTCCTACACAGCCACAAATTTTGTTAGTCTGTAAGGAGCTCCTGGACTCTTGCTCTTTTCCACTGCTACAGGCAAACGAACACAGCGACCCATCTTGACCCTCTGAAACGATACCTTTAATGGCTCAGACAATTGAAGAAACCAAGGTGTATTCAAGTCCATTTCTCGACCACCTTACGAGCACCGGATTACGAAGCCAGATGCAACATGCGGAGTTTTTGAAGCAAACAAACACAGGACTGGACCAAAGCAGAACCAGGTTTCAAAGCAATCCATTTGGGAGTCTAAAACGTCTGCCTGGCAAACTTAATTTTGGGCCCCCTCTTCAAGGCCAAGTTTTAAACCTAGTAGGAACCAGTTTTTTGTTTGTTTTGCTGTCAAGTTACAACCAACTTATGGCAACCTTGTAGGGTTTTCAAGGCGAGAGATACTCAGTGGTGGTTTGCCATTGCCTGCCTGATTTCTTTCACAATTAATGATCCAAGCTGACAAGAAGCCCAGAAGAAGGCATTTGATAATTAGCTGAAGAGATGCTTTATCTTTTAACGAGATGTCAAGATGAGGTTGGAAAGATTTATTGAGTAGGAAAACAGCTGCAACTCTCTGCATACCCCTTCCTTATTTGTTGACTGCTTTCAAAAATTAAATACAACTTTTAATATTTTGTTTATAGCTGAGAATAACAGTTGTTTAGAGGTAGTATGGATCTTTTATATTCTCCTGAATGTTTGTGGGAAAGACAGCTAGCTAAATTCTTTATTAAGTAAAACTCTTATTCTTTAATAAGGAAGCTTTGCTTATTAGCCAAAGACTATGACAGATTTATTGATGCACAGCTGTGAAAGAAGGATTCAAACTTAAGCTATAATAGGCATTTATTTTTACAAGCAGAGGTAATCTTTATCTTTAGCCAGTTATCAAAGCAAGATTGAAAAATAGCCAAGATGTTCCCAACAGAAATTAATGAACATATGTTCATTATTAGAGATATCTTTATCAACACAAAGGTATTTTAACGAGCAATAAATCAAGGCTTTCTGACAATCTAGTTAATTAGAAGCAGTAGAATTTATATTTTATATACAGAGAGGGCCCTCAAGTGACTATTAGAAGTAAGGAATTTGATTTTGCTAAAATGGAATTATCATTAAAAAAACTTTCCTATATTTTGCAAGAAAACTTTATAAACAAGTATAAACAAGCTTTTTTATATCATATATATGCATGTGTTAGTAGAAAAACAATATATTAATAGCAGAGAAAGTTAATTTTTGCTTATAATATGAATTTAAGCCAGTAAATTTTTAGAGATGGGAAAACTGGGAACATAGCCAAGCAGAGATACTATTACTGTTGTCCAGAAGAGTACCATATTTCACTTTTAATAAAGAGATTTTGACAAACACCTGTGGATGAAAGAAGATTAAAATTGAAAGAAAGCCAGACACATTTTGTTTGCCAAAAGTAAGATGAATGGATAGCAGAGACAAAGAAAATCAAAATACGCATGTGCAAATGATGTCACGGATGATGTAAAAATGGGAGGAGAACCTAGAGTATAAAAGTTGGAACACAACTGTTGCTTCAGTGGACATCTGAGCTAAACTTTTCGGCCGTATGTTGTCCCTTATTCGAATAAAACTTTTTTAAAAATCTTTTTGCTGCCTTGATTTCATCTTACAGTGTGACTTTAATTGGCTAGCCACACAAGTCAAAGAAGTTTAGCGCCCTGAGGGTGCTGCCTTCAGTGTGACACAGAATGTTGGACCGGATGGGCCATTGGCCTGATCCAACATGGCTTCTCTTCTGTTTTTATCAAGGCAGGTAGCCGTGTTAGTCTGTCTGTAGCAGTAGAAAAGAGAGAGAGTGACTCATATAAGCTCCTACCCTGCCACAAATTTTGTTAGTCTTTAAATTGCTACTGGACTCTTACCGCTTGTGTTGTTGGTGGTCTCCCATCTAAGTAGTCACCAGGGCCAACCTTACTTAGCTTCCAAGATCTGATGAAATCAGGCTAGCCTGGGCTGTCCAGGACAGGGCTGAAACTAGTTTATTTCTTGTATTTTCTCCAAAGACCTTGGGAAACGTAGTTTGAAGAAATAGCTCCCAATTCCCAGTTAGAGGCATCTTCAGAGAAGTGCGGTTCTCAGGGATTCAGAGCTGGAACGTCTGCAATCACTTTGACCGCGCAAAACAGACGTTCAGTATTTTTGACCACCACAAAGGTCTCCTACCTGCGTTATTTTATCCAGCTGTTTCTGGCTGTCAACCACGATTATGTTTGCTTGGCAGTCGTGAGCAATATAGTGGCAGGCATCGGGAGAACTGGTTGTGTAAATTCCTGTCACGATTCCACTGGGGGGAGAGAGAGGTATTTTTTTAAAGCGGAAAATGCTTCATTGTACATGGGTGATCTTTAGGATGCCCCCTCGTCTGACCTTAACTTTATTTGCTTTCTCGATTAAACCATTTACACGCTGCTTTTCCTCGTTGCTCAAGGGGACTTCCGGTAATGATCCTAATTTGAACCACTTAATAAGAACCCAGGAAGAGAAAAGCTCTTCAGGGTCAGACCAAGGGTCTGTCTGGCACAACGTCCTGTTTCCAACAGCAGTCGACCAGGACGGATGCCAACCTCCACGTGGCACCTGGAGATACCCCGCTATTACAGTTGATCTCCAGATGATCAAGATGGTGAAGAAGAGTTGGATTTATACCCTGCCCTTCACTCGGAATCTCAGAGCAGCTTACAATCGCCTTCCCTTCCCCACAACAGACACCCTGTGAGGTAGGTGGGGCGGAGAGAGCTCTTTTGAGGACTGCTCCTAAGAGAACAGCTCTGAGAGAACTTGTGACTGATCCAAAGTCACACCAGCAGCTGCATGTGGAGGAGTGGGAGATCACACCCAGTTCCCCAAGTTAGAGTCCGCGCTCCTGACCACTACACCAAACTGATGAATTCCCCTGGAGGAAATGGCTGCTTTGGAAGGCGGTCTCTATGGCATTATTCAATGCCATCCCTTCCTCAAAATCTGTCCTCCCCAGGTTCCGCCCCCAAAATCTCCATCCCAGAGCTAGAAACCATACTGACCAGTTGCTGTAGCAGGGCAACAAGTTGGGCACAAAGGCGGAAACATCACTCTGTTTTTGCCTCCCTCCCCCAGCAACAAGAGAGCCAATTTGGTGTCGTGGTTAAGTGCGCGGACTCTAATCTGGGAGAACCGGGTTTGATTCCCCCACTCCTCCACTTGCACCTGGCTGGATGACCTTGGGCAAGCCGTAGCTCTGATAAGAGCTGTCCTTGAAAAAGAGCAGTTTCTGTCAAGAGCTCTCTCAGCCCCACCTACCTCACAGGGTGTCTGTGGTGGGGAGGGGAAGGGAAGGATATTGTAAGCCACTCTGAGACATCTTTGGGTAGTGAAGGGCGGGGTATAAATCCAGTCTCCTCTTCTTCTTCTTCTTTTACCTCACAGGGTGTCTGTTGTGGGGAGGGGAAGGGAAAGGAGTTTGTTAGCCACTCTGAGACACCTTTGGGTAGTGAAGGGCGGAGTATAAATCCCTTCTCTTCTTCTTCTTTTACCTCACAGGGTGTCTGTTGTGGGGAGGGGAAGGGAAAGGAGTTTGTAAGCCGCTCTGAGACACCTTTGGGTAGTGAAGGGCAGGGTATAAATCCAATCTCTTCTTCTTCTTATAGTCGAAGTTAGACTACTTCTGAACATGGGGGTTCTATTTAGAGATCAGTGTGAATGGCCACTGACAGGCCTGTCCTCCAGGAATTTATCTAATCCCCTTTGATAGATATCCAAGTGAGTGGACAGGGCTAGGTCTTGTGGCAGTGAGTTCCACAAATTAACAACAGACTGTGCGAAGAATGTACGGACTTTTGCCTGTCACCAGTCTGTTGCCCAACCATTTTATTGAGTGTCCCTGGGAAGGACAGTGTTTGGGGAGGGGTGGTACTTCAGTGGGTTATAATGTCATAAAGTCCCCCTTCCAAAGCAGCCGTTTTCTCCAGGGGAACTGATCTCTGCTGCCTGGAGATCAGTTGTAATCCCAGGAGATCTCCAGCCACTACCTGGAGGTTGGCAATCCCGATTATGGGAAAGGGAGGGAAAAGTTATCTCTACCCTTTTCTCTCCTTTCGTCTGCTATCTTCCAGGCTCTTCTGTCTGCCCTTCTCTTCTCTAGCAGTGCAGTTCAGCCAGTGAGGTTCTTAGGATCTGAATGGCTTGGCCAATAGCAGTTAGAGTCTGCCTGCCCTGTCCCTCTGTGACATCAGGGCAACTCAACCAATCACAGCCAAAGGCCTCATATCCACTCTCGTAAAACCCTTTAGTGAAGGGGTGTCAGACTCATTTGTTATGAGGGCCGGATCTGACATAAATGAGACCTTTTCGGGCTGGGCCATGTGCGTCATAAAATGTAATGCCCGGTAGCAGAGATATAAACTTTATAAAGGACACAAACACAAAGATATTTTTTTTTACTTAAAATAAAAACATGCTTAAAACATTAGCTCGGTAAGCTGCAAACCTACTTTTGATTTGTTGACATTCGCCACAGAAATCTCATGCTCAGAGTTCTGAGCATAGGACCCAGGTTAAAACATCAAATGGCTAAGTGATTAAAGAGAGTCTGGCAAAGCAAGCTATGATGCAGCAGCAGCAGCAGCAGAACTGGAAGCAGGAGACGGCCAGTTCTACTGTGGGCCTGATGGAAGCCGTCTGGGGGCCTGATCCGGCCCCCGGTCTGCATGTTTGACACCCCAGCTTTAGTGCATTAAAATATCTTTTGACATGCTCAAAAGCTTGCCTGTTTCTGCCTGTTACTGCAACAGAAAAAGTCTCAGACAAAAGCCAGCTAGGAACAAGACCTAGCACAACTCCTCCACGCCTTACCCAGCAAAAACGGCTCCCACCGCCGAGATGAACCACTCTGCAGAATTGAACCCGAGTATTGCCACGCCATGGAACCGTTCAAGGCCGAGCTGCAAAGAAGGAGAAACTGAGTTCAACGACGGAACCTCTGCTTTGCATACAGAAGGTCCCAGGTTCGGTCCCTGGCATCTCCCCTCAAAAGAATTGTTTCCTTAGAAACACAGAAAAGGAAGATTTAAGAACACTCCTCGCTGCTCAGAAATTGAGGACAGTGCATTTGGAGCACTAAAAAAAAAGGCAGAGCTTAGACTGGCTCTACATGCGGGAACAAGGTGGTAGACCCCTGGCATAGCCCAGTGCAATGTACCATTTCAGACGGAAATGAGTAGGATCACATTTTTGAATGTGCTGATGGATACTTGTCTCCCTGCAAGTAGAAGACTAGCGCCTCAGGGTGGACCTTTGACTCTTTCTTCCTGAGATGCTAGCTTTCTAGTTGCAGGGCACAAAAAGCCCGCAGGGTGAAACAGTGCTACCCACTCCATACTTAGCTGCCTCTTTATGTGTTGCCATCAGTTCTAATGTATTGATTTTAGCAAGTGGCTTCTATGTATTTTATTATTATTTACACTGTAAGCCACCTTGAGTCCCTATAAGGTAGAAAGGCAGATACCAAATGTTTTAGATAAATAAATAAAATGCCAGATATTGTAACTCTGCATGCAAGAGGATCCGTGAGGGAAAGGGTTCAGAGAATCCTCTCACTGGGGTACACTCGGACGTTACCTTCCCCAACTGGTTAGCTGTTGAGACTCTTTGGGCCTCGCTTGCCTTCTGTTTCATCTTATATAGGACCTCTCTTTGGCCCTCACTTGCCTTCTGTTTCATCTTATATAGGACCTCTCTTTGGCCCTCACTTGCCTTCTGTTTCGTCTTATATAGGACCTCTCTGTGGCCCTCGCTTGCCTTCTGTTTCATCTTATATAGGACCTCTCGTTGGCCCTCGCTTGCCTTCTGTTTCATCTTATATAGGACCTCTCTTTGGCCCTCGCTTGCCTTCTGTTTCATCTTATATAGGACCTCTCGTTGGCCCTCGCTTGCCTTCTGTTTCATCTTATAGAGGACCTCTCGTTGGCCCTCGCTTGCCTTCTGTTTCATCTTATATAGGACCTCTCTTTGGCCCTCACTTGCCTTCTGTTTCATCTTATATAGGACCTCTCGTTGGCCCTCACTTGCCTTCTGTTTCATCTTATATAGGACCTCTCGTTGGCCCTCGCTTGCCTTCTGTTTCATCTTATATAGGACCTCTCGTTGACCCTCGCTTGCCTTCTGTTTCATCTTGTATAGGACCTCTCTTTGGCCCTCACTTGCCTTCTTATATAGGACCTCTCTCCTTCTCTCACTTTCCTGGGCTTGGAGCTGTAGCAAGCTAACCTCTTGGAAGTTAACCTTCCAAGAAGATTGGAAGTCAATCTGTTCACAATCAGTTAAACGTCCCTACATGAATATGTCACGTAAGATGTGCTTCTATTTTTGCAAGTAAAACTTCTTTCTCTTGTGACCATCGGAGTCAGGCCATCTTTGTAATTTGTTTGAACAGGATTTTCCCCTTAACCGGGAAATGTGGAGAACTGGGGACATTGCATGAAGCCTCTGGGCTTCCAAGGCAATTGATTTTATTTTTTTTAACATTTAAACCAATAGGTGAACCCATGGAGTTCCTGTACAACGCTACTTCTCACAATCTTCTCCTCAAAGTCCCTCATTTGTTCTGTGGAGACTTTGGCACAATTTCTCAGTCACCCTCCCCTACTGAGCCTACAAACACACGACTGGGACGAGCCCCCTCTTCTTCTCCTCCTGTTCCTCATCACAGGGTTGCCAACACCAGGTTGGGAAAGTCCTGGAGATTTGGGGGGCAGAACCTGGGGAGGGCAGGGTTTGAGGAGAGGAAGGACTTCAGTCAGTGTAATGCCACAGAGTCAGGACCGGCTCACCCACTAGGCGAACTAGGCATTCGCCTAGAGCGCCGGGCCCTGGATGGGGTGCCAAACTGTGCCTCCCCCCCGCCAGAAGCCTGTGTGCTATTGCTGCTCCCAGCTACATGGCATGGGGGGCGTGAAAGGGGAGCGCAAGGCCACCTCGCCTTCCCCCTCCACCCGGGGTCGGCTTTTGTAAATCCAAATGTGGGGTGTTTTGGTTTGGGTGCCCGAAAACCTCGCCGCCTCCTCCTCACTCGCCTAAAGGGGAGAGAAGTAGGACTTCCTTCTCTCCAGGCTCTGCCTGGAGGTTGGCAACCACATAATTGGGTGTGCGGGGGCTGCCAGAAGGTAGCCCCGCCTAGGGTGCAAAAAAACCTCAGGCCGGCCCTGCACAGAGTCCACCCTCCAAAGCAGCCATTTTCTCAACAGGAACTGATTTCTGTCATCTGGAGATGAGTTGTAATTCTGGGAAATCTCCAGGCCACACCTGGAGAGTGGCAACCTTAGCACTGCCTCTCTTTCCTTCCCCCCCCCCAACTCAGATATTTAGATTTCAACTTCCGGGGGGGGGGGGGGTTTGTGAATTTCTTTTATTTTTCCACCTTGAACCCTAGCCAATGGGGGGTCCTAGCTCTAAGCTGTGGAGCCTTGTGAACAAAAAGGCTACTTTGTGAGCTCCTGGCATGAAAGCTGTGAGTGAGCGATTTGGCTACTGCATCAATTAGTTTGCTCTGGAGCCATCCTTCCTGAGCGAAGACAAAAAATTGTGAGCCGGCGGCTAAGAAACTGTGAGCCGGCTCACACTAACTTGGCTTAGAGGGAAGACCCGTTACCTTGAGGAAGCTCTTGGCGGCTTTCCGAGAGAGGTTATAGTACTCCAGAAAGGTGACCTTTTCCCATTTCCCGTTCTTTCGGCTGGCCATGGAGTGGAGGGACCCGTATTTCTCAAGGGATTCCAGGAACATGTCGTGAACCGTTATGGGGGTCTGCGAGCAGGTAGGATCGATCCTCAGTTTGACTTGCCCGTTGGCAGATATGGTCCAGAGAGAGGCTGAAAAAAAGAGATATATTTTTCCCCCCGTGTGGAACAGATTGGACTCATACCCCACCCTTCACTACCCGAAGGAGTCTCAGAGCAGCTTACTCTCCCTTCCCCTCCCCACAACAGACGCCCTGTGAGGTAGGTAGGGCTGAGAGAGCTCTCTCGGGGACTGCCCTTGAGAGAACAGCTTTGAGAGAACTTGTAATTGACCCAAGGTCACACCAGCAGCTGCATGTGAAGGAGTGGGGAATCAAACCCGCTTCTCCCAGATCAGAGTCCGTGCTCCTAACCACTATACCAAACTGGCTCTCCGTTTGTAGCATCTGTATTTGAAACCTGTTCCGTAAATCAATAACATGGCCTGTTCTTCAAAGTTCCTCGCAGTCCTGTACCACGTAGAACTTCTTTTATCGATTTACTTTTTATACCCCACTTTTCTCCACAACAGCGACCAAAAGCAGTTTACCTCTCCTCCATTTTTCCCTCCCAACATCCCTGTGAGGTAGGTTAGGCTGAGAGAGTATGTGGCAGGCCCAAGCTTCCCTGTCAGAGTGGGAATTCGAACCAGGATCTCCCAGATCCTGGTCTGACGCTCTAACCGTTTGCTTAAAGTGAGCTAGATACGGATGCCAGCTCCAGGTGGTGACTGGAGATCTCCCAGTGTTCCCTCTAAGCTGAGTTAGTGTGAGTTAGCTCACAGGTTTTTAGCCTCTGGCTCACACATTTTTGTCTCAGCTCGGGAAAGATGGCTCCAGAGCAAACTAATTTAGGCAGCAGCCAAATCGCTCGCTCACAAGTTCAATGACAGGAGCTCACAAAAGTAGAATTTTTGCTCACATGACTCCACAGCTTAGAGCGGGGGTGTCAAACATGTGTCCTGGGGGCCGCATGAGGCCCCCGGCGGGCTTCTGTCAGGCCCGCAGTGGAACTGGCTGTCTTCTGCTTCTTCTTTCCAGTTCTGCCGCTGCTGCATCATCGTAGTTTTGCAGCTGACAGATACACACCTGAACGGCATACTCAAGATTGCAACAGCACAGACATTTTGATGCAATCATTCAGTGCAAGGGGTGTCAGTTATCAGACACTGTTAAACAAAATACTGCAAGAGTGCTAATGTTTTAAGCGTGTTTTTATTTTAAGTTAAAAAACAACAACCCTTGTTTGTGTCCTTTATGAAGTTTGTATCTCTGCTACCTAGCATTACCTTTTATGAAAGACATGGCCCGGCCCAACAAGGTCTCACTTATGTCAGATCTGGCCCTAATAACAGATGAGTTTGACGCCCCTGACTTAGAGGGAGCATTGCCCAGAATTACAACCCATCTCCGGGCGACAGAAATCAGTCCACCTGGAGAAAATGGCCCTGGAAAAATGCAGCTTCTTCCTCTTAGCGTTCAAGGAATACGTGCCCTGTGGGGGGGGGGGGGGACAGCGGGACTATTATATAATAGCCACAGAGGGGGTTAGCCATGCTCTTAATTACCTGATTAACAAATCCGCATCCGTTAATTGTCCCGAAAGATGGCAATTGTACAGGTCACCCACTTCTGCTTATCCAAAGTATGAATGAGCGCACACTGTGGTACGTTGTTCAAGGGTCTAATACCACTGATCGGTTAAGAAGGATTAATTCCCCTTTAACCAGCCAGCCAAACAGGCCGCCAGTTGGGTCAGAGGGCATATTCAAACCCACCCCTCCAAATGGAGGGGTGGAATCAGGGACTTTAATATCCATGAGCTTGCCTAGATCTCATGGAGGTAGTACACTGGTGGATAGGGTGGTTCACGCCATTGCCAGCTTCCTCCAGGCAAAATCCTTGCATTAAAGAAAGCTAGCTTCTCAGGGATGTGTCCTCCTGAGAGGCTAGCTTTCATCATGTCTGCCCCAACCCGTTGTGTGACGTCTGCAGTTGTTGTACGGCCCAGGCTTTTGAAAATGGATAGAATCTAGTGGGGGGAGAGAGAGAATAGAGTAGCCAGCTTGGGTTGCCAGCCTCCAGGTGGGGACTGGGGATCCCCCGGAATTACAGCTCATCTCCAGAATGCAGAGGTCAGTTCCCACGGAGAAAGCAGCGGCTTTAGAAGGGGGACTCTGTGGCACTGTACCTGGAGTTGCCAATCTCCAGGTGGTTGCTGGAGATATTCCAGGATTACAACTGGTCTCCAAGTTATAGAGGGCAGTTCCCTTGGAGAAAATAGACCAGAGGTCGATTCGGGGGGGATCGCGGGGGATCGCAGTTCCCCCGGGTGAGGTGCAGGGGGCGGGGCACATGACAAAGCCCCGCCCCCTTCTTCCAGCCGCCCCCTGCTTCCAGCCTCATTCTGTTGCAGAAGGAGGAAGAAGCAGGAGGGTAAGTTGGCGTCCTCCCCCTCTGCCTGGCCGAGGCCACTCCACGTGGTCTCCGCAAGGACTCCCAGCCCCATCCAGGAGCTTCCCCGAGGTAGTGTTAGTCTGTTGCTGCAAAATAGTCCAAGAGTTCAAATAGCACCTTTAAGACTAACAAATAGCACCTTTAAGACTAACCTTTAAGACTAAGACTAACTGAGTGGTGGGTGTGGCCTTACGACACACTTCCGGTGATGGCAGGGTGTGTGGCATATGCTAATGTTATGCTAATGAGTTCCCCAGCTCTTTTTCTACGAAACGACCCCTGAAATAGACGAGGAAGAAGAGGAGGAGGAGGAGGAAAAGAAAAAGAAGAAATTGGGTTTGTACTACGCCTTTCACTTGGAGTCTCAGAGAGGCTTACAATCTCCCTTCTTCTCCCCACAACAGACACGCGGTGAGGTGGGGGTGGGCCTGAGAGAGCTCTTTCAAGGACTGCTCTTGAGAGAACTGTGACTGACTCAAGGTCACCTGGCTGGCTGCATGTGAGGAGTGGGGAATCAAACCCGGTTCTCCAGATTTGAGTCCGCCACTCTTAACCACTACCTATGGCATTATACTCCACTGAGGTCCCTCCCCGGGCTCTACCTCCAAAATCTCTAGGAATTTCCCAACACAAACCTGGTAACCATTGCTCCCTCTAAGCTGAGCAAGTGTGAGCTAGCTCACAGTTTTTTAGCCTCCGGCTCACACATTTCTGTCTCAGCTCAGGAAGGGATGGTTCCAGAGCAAACTGATTTATGCAGTTGCCAAATCCCTCACTAAGGCCAGTGGCTCACAAAGTAGAATTTTTGCTCACAAGACTCCGCAGCTTAGAGGGAGCATTGCTGGTAACCCTAATCTATACCCCCGCTGGGGTCTCTCCCTCCCCCAAATCTGCCCTTCCCAAGCTCCGCCCCCAAATCTCCAGGAATTTCCCAACCCAGAGATGACAACCCCATGCAGGTGGAGGCTGGAGTTCTTCTAGAATCAAAACCAATGTGCAGAGGACCGAGATTGGTCGGCTGCTTTGGAGGGACAGCTGTATGGCATTATACACACACACCCGTCCCTCCCCTCCCCAAAACCTGGCTGATTCTGCATTGGCTTTTCCCTCCATTGTGTTACGAAACCCACGTTGGAACAGAAATTCCCCTGTGCATCACATGCCGCTTTCCCTTCCTTTGGATTTTATGGTACCCTCTACACTCCATGCCGCTTTCGCTTTCCTTGATCATCATATTCTATGGTACTCTATACACTCCGCTTCTGCTTTCTTTGATCATAGGATTTTATGGTACCCTCTAAACTGCATGCCACTTTTGCTTTCTTTGATCATAGGATTTTACGGTACTCTCTACACTCCATGCTGCTTTCGCTTTCTTTGCTCATCAGATTTTATGGTACCCTCTACACTGCATGCCGCTTTTGCTTTCTTTGATGATCTGATTTTATGGTACCCTCTAACTGCATGCCACTTTTGCTTTCTTTGATCATAGGATTTTATGGTACCCTCTACACTCCATGCCGCTTTCGCTTTCCTTGATCATCAGATTTTATGGTACCCTCTACACTGCATGCCGCTTTTGCTTTCTTTGATCATAGGATTTTACAATATCCTCGACAATGCGTGCCACTTTTGCTTTCTTTGATCATAGGATTTTATGGTACCCTCTACACTGCATGCCACTTTTGCTTTCCTTGATCATAGGATTTTTACGGTTCCCTCTATACTGCATGCCCCTTTCGCTTTCCTTGATCATCAGATTTTATGGTATCCTCTACACTGCATGACAGTTTTGCTTTCTTTGATCATAGGATTTTACAGTATCCTCAACAATGCGTGCCACTTTTGCTTTCCTTGATCATCAGACTTTATGGTACCCTCTACACTCCATGCCACTTTTCCTTTCTTTGAACATCAGACTTTATGGTACCCTCTATACTGCATGCTGCTTTTGCTTTCTTTGATCATCAGATTTTTATGGTAGCCTCCACACTCCATGCCGCTTTTGCTTTCTTTGATCATCGGATTTTATGGTACCCTCTACACTGCATGCTGCTTTCGCTTTCTTTGATGATCAGATTTTTATGGTAGCCTCCACACTCCATGCTGCTTTTGCTTTCTTTGCTCATCGGATTTTATGGTAGCCTCCACACTTTTGCTTCCTTTGACCATTGGGTTTTATGGTACCTTCTGCATAGATTTATGGCTGTTCAGGGGTAACTTTGCAGTCAGTACAGCATTGCCTCGGGCTATTTGAATGTGGTTTTGAGCAGCACCTTTTCCTCCCAGTTGAGAAAATGTGGAGCGAATGCCAGATGCAGAATCGCCCCCTGACTTCCTCAGCTCTGTTCCCAAACTTCTAGCAGTCCCCCAACGCCCTGGGCAGCCTCTCCAAGCCATTTCCCCTCCCTCTCCCCCTCCCCCATTTCTCATGGCCCTCCCAGTGTGTATTTCTCATGTCATTGCGACTGGAGAATGTTCCGAACCCATAAAGGGAAAAATATAAAATTCCAATTTGCCCATGGGGGGGGGGGAGGAAGAGGGTTAGAGAGTCCGAGGAGGAATGCATTGTGCCCGTAGAGCGACAAAGGTCATTCCGAAGGCAAATCCCCCAAAGAAAGGCAAACAGTGTTTTCGGTTCTGCAATTCAGCTATTCAAGGAGAAAAGGAAACGCGGGGGGGGGGGGGGAGGATGCGAAAAGAACAAAAAAGCTAAAGGACTTTGCCCAAGTTACTCGAGGTGGTTCTTGTCGTAGCCAGCGGGAGAGCTCTTGTGGCACAGTTACAGTTGCCAATCTCCAGGTGGTACGGAAAAACATATGACACAGTTTATAATAGATGTATGCTTAAGGTCGATCTATGACCTGCTTTTTATTTCTATTTTTTGATTTACTAGAATCCCCTGGGACTAGTGATTGTGAAATGGACAAGGTGCTGTTTGAATGCTTGAACAGAGTGTAAACCTGCACTTTGAGGTACCGTCTTGTTGAAATCTATGTTTGGTAATGACTCGACACCAATATTTATATAATAGTATAGAAAAATTTTAAAAAAGAAAAAGCACAAAATAGATCTACCCAGGGGTCATTTCCTGCAGGAGCGGAGCTCCGGCAGTAAAGAGCCCACAAAGCCCCCCCCCCCCCCAATAGCTAGCAATCCAAAACAGTCCAGTGGAGCCTGAGCGGTGGGTGTTGCCTTCTGACACACTTCCGGTAACGTCAGGGGGCATGGCCAATGCAAATGAGTTATGCAAATCAGTTATGCTAATGAGCTCCTGCACCTCTTTTTCTATGAAACTACCCCTGGATCTACCTTAAGCATACTTCTATTATAGGGTAAAAGTAAAGGTTTTCCCTCGCTTGAAAGCCAGTCGAATCCGACTCTAGGGATGTGGTGCTCATCTCGGTTTCCAAGCCGAAGAGCCAGTGCTGTCCAAAGACTTTTCCGTGGCCACGTGGCCGGCATGACTAGACGCCGAGGCGCACGGAACGCTGTTACTTCCCCACCTAAGCAGTACCTATTTATCTACTTGCAATTTCTTGCTTTCGAACTGCTAGGCTGGCAGGAGCTGGGGCCAGAGACGGGAGCTCACTCCGTCACACGGCACTCGGGTCTTGAACTGCCAAACCACCGACCTTCCAGTCTGCAGTTCAGCGTCTTAACCACTTGAGCCATAGTGTCATATATTTTTCCGTAACACTGTGGCCTGAAGTTTTTGTATTATAACCTCCAGGTGGTGACTGGAGATCTCCCGGAATTACAACTGTTCTCCAGACTACAGAAATCAGTCCTCCTGACTCTATGGCACTATACCCCACTGGAGTCCCTCCCCTCTCCAAACCCCGCCTTCCTCAGGCTCCACCCCCCAAATCGCCAGGTGTTTCCCAACCTGGTGCTGGTAGCCATAAATATCACCCACTTAGGTTCTCCAGTGGCTCAGTGGCAGAGCCTCTGCTTGGCACACAGAAGGTCCTAGGTTCAAACCCTGTCATCTCCAGTTATAAAGATCAGGCAGTATTTGATGGGAAAGACCCTGAGACCCTAGAGAATTGCTGCCAGCGAGAGTAGTCCCCCTGGAGAAAATGGCTGCTTTCTAGGGTGGATTCGGGCATTGTACTCCACTGAGGGCCCCTTCCATCCCCAAACACCACCTTCCCCAAGAGTGTCGTGGTTAGGAGCGCAGACTCTAATCTGGAAGGAACCGGGTTTGGTTTCCCCACTCCTCCACATGCAGCTGCTGGTGTGACCTTGGGTCAGTCACAAGTTCTCTCGGAGCTGTTCTCTCAAGGGCAGTCCTCGCAAGAGCTCTCTCAGCCCCACCGACCTCACAGGGTGTCTGTTGTGGGGAGGGGGAGGGAAAGGAGATTGTGAGCCGCTCTGAGACTCCTTTGGGTAGCGAAGGGCGGGGTATAAATTCAATCTCTTCTTCTACCCCCCCCCCCCCAAATCTTATTTCCAAAGCCGGATTTGGCATCCCTAGGGGTAGTGTTTTGTATAAGGCTTTTGGAGACTCGGGTTCAAATCCCCCTTCAGTTAGGAAGTATATTGGGTGACCTTTAGTCTAGTGCGCTTTCACGCATACTAAACAACACATTTTAAATCCACTTTTAATGCAGTTTGCAACTGGATTTTATAGCAAAATCCACTTACAAACGGTTGCTGAAGTGGATTGAAACGGTATTATCTAGCGTGTGTGAAATCTTCACATTCCCACTCCTGGTTTGGATCTCGGACCCTTCAACGATGCAAGCAGAAGCATCGGAGACATACCCAGGAAGGCCAGGTTCATACTCCCATTTGGCTCTTACGCCTTTATAAGAGGCCACAGCATGAGAGAGGCAGTGTGGTGTAGTGGTTAAAGTGTCACAGGATCTGGGAGACCCAGGTGCGAATCGCCACTTTGTGCCATGGAAGCTTGCTGGGTGGCCTTGGGCCAGTCACACTCTCTCGGCCTAAACTACCTCGCAGGGTTGTTGTGAGGATAAAACTGAGGAGAGGAGAGCAATGTAAGCCGCTTGGGGTCCCCGTTGGGGAGGGAGGGTGAAAGGAAGGGAGGGAGGGAATTTAACCAGAAGTATCTTCTTCCTTCCCAATGCCACCACGAGAAGAAGAGGAGGAGGAGGAGGAGGAGGAGGAGGAGGAAGAGGAGGAGGAGGAGATTGGATTTATACCCCACCCTTCACTACCTGAAGGAGTCTCAGAGCTGTTCTCTCAAGGGCAGTTTCTGTCAGAGCTCTCTCAGCCCCACCTGCCTCACAGGGTGTCTGTTGTGGGGAGGGGAAGGGGAAGGAGTTCATGAGCCGCTCTGAGACTCCTTCGGGTAGTGAAGGGAAGGGTATAAATCCAGTCTCCATCTCCTCCTCCTCCTTCTCCTCTTTTTCCTCTCCTTCTTCTGTCAAAAGCTAGCTTTTGGGAATCCCTTTCTGCAGCTTGGGTTTCCTATCCTTCTGCCCTTTGAACAGCAGCAGATATGAGGAATCTCCCCTCTTTTGGTCCCTGATCCATCTCCCAGAATAATCGGCTGGGAGGGGGCAGACAGTTGCTTTGGACTCTCAACAAAGCTGCTTTTGTGAGAACTCAGAATGGGTTTTCTGTTGCTCAACATCTGTCTGCCGGCTTTCAGTGGAGTGGGGCTATCTTTTCCTTGGGAGACCGGAATGTCCCTGCTGAACGCAGCAAACATCGCGGCTTCGACTTAAGAGCTCCTTCACACATGCACCATCAGCCATCGGTTCCTGGAGGTTTCAAATGGAAACCTGCATGTGCGAATCCACCATGTGGGCAAGTCAGAAGTCACAGATTTAGAGGGAGAAATTAAACAGGTGGGGCTTTTCTTTGTAAGGAAATACATGGTGTATGGAGCAGAGGTCCATCAATGGCTATGAGCCACAAGGTCTAGATAGGAGATCTCAGTCTGGGGCAAGGGATGCTCTGTCTTCTTGGTGCTTGGAGGTGTGGGGGGGGGGCAACAGTGGGAGGGCTTCTAGTGTCCTGGCCCCACTGCTGGACCTCCTGACGGCACCTAGTATTTTTGGCCAATGTGTGACAGAGTGTTGGACTGGATGGGCCATTGGCCTGATCCAACACTGGCTTCTCTTATGTTCTTATAGGAACTCTCAGTCTGGGGCAAGGGATGCTCTGTCTTCTTGGTGCTAGGGGGGGATCAACAGAGGGAGGGCTTCTAGTGTCCTGGACCCACTGCTGGACCTCCTGATGGCACCTGGTATTTCTGGCCAGTGTGTGACCGAGTGTTGGACTGGGTGGGCCATTGGCCTGATCCAACTTTGGCTTCTTTTATATTCTCTTATGTTCTTATGGGGACAGCTGAATTTCTGGCTCATTGTTATCCCGACTTTCTTCCATGGATCTCTGGAGAGCATGTGTGGCACTCCCCCTCCTCCATTCATCCTCACAACAACCCTGTGAGGTACGTTAGCCTGAGAGAGGGCAACTGGCCCAAGGTCACCAAGCAAGTCTCACAGCTGAGCGAGGGAATATGAACTCAGGACTCTCCATGGTTGTGCTCGAACAGCCACACCAAGCTGGCACTTCGTTGCACCAGACTGACTTTAGAGGTACATAAGAAGAAATGCCGGCAATGGGGTAACAGTTCTGATTAAGGTTGTCTACCCTGGGTTGGAAAATTCCAGCAGATTTGGGGGGG